CGACCGGGATTGGCCAGGCCATGAGGCTGCCTGCTGGCTAGCCCCACACTGTGTCCCAGCCAGCCCCTCTGCAGCACGTTGAGCCTCCCGGGGATCCCTGCGAGCCAGAGCTGTGCTGCATGCTGCAGTCCTGGGCACATATGTAAATAAACTCCAGCATGAATTGCACCGGAGCTTATTCAGCTGTGCTAATTTCATGTGTAGATGCACCTTGTGAGAATCAAAGAAGCTGTTTCACTGCAGCAGTGATTTACTTTTCTAACGTTAAACTCAAAAGACACCATTCACAGCTTAGCAGCCATCTCCAGTGATGACTCTAATGTTGAGAAGTAATATCAAATTTCAGAAGAGAAATCCTGTGGGAGACTCTCATAGACTTTAGCTGTACATAATATTACAGCAATTTAGTAGTGTCAGCAGTTAGAAGGCCCTGTTGCCTCTTCTAGCAAACCACATTTAACCACGTGACCAGCACACGGAAAGCCAGAAATACAGCTTTAATACTTACTTATTGATTAATTGGTCAGACTGCTGAATGCTGTATGCCAGCACTTAGTGCCTCCATATGTGATCATATTCTTGGAATGGTTTTGAACAAATCATTGTATTTCTGCACTCTTAAATATGCTCTTACCATGAAAATATAGTTATGAAGTGAATAATATACAGGGGTCTTTGTCTGAAAAGTGTTGCACAAAGACAGCTCCAACAGAAGTAGATGAGAAATGGGGATACATCCACCTTTGAAATTTGGGCCACAGCTTTTATATGAGCTTCTTTCCAGTGGAAGAAAACATTGGAATAGCAATTGTTATCCTTTAAGAGACTTTGAAGCAGAGTTATGAATTGTCTTCTATTATTTTATGAAGTTCTCTGATGATCAGTGTAACATTATGATATATGGATGCAAATTGTATAATTATATACTGTACTTTTGTGTATATACAAGTTGCATCCTTAGAGTTCATATCTATGCCCAGATCTGGATGTATGTCATATGTACCTAGCACTCATATGGTTAGCAGTATCTTTTTTAAATCTAATCAGATTTTGAGATCCATATTCTTACAGATAAGCCTCTTAAATAAAAAAAATGCTTCAAGATTTTATTCAGAGTTAATATACTCCATATTTTAAGTATAAGTAGACATATTGCGGATTGAATATTGATAGATGCTTTTTGGGAGACACAGGGCCAGGTCATGGTGTAACTCAGCATATCAGCATTGATTTCAGTTCATACCAGCTAAATATCAAGTCCATCATATCTTGGGAGATCCAGAAATGAGACCAGTTGACCCAAATCTCAGTGAAGCTTCTTGGTAGAAAATTACATATGTATTTTTTTAAACTTCTGTACACCAACTGCCTAACTTGTTTTGTTCTGGAATTCCTTACAGTATCAGTGTAATTGCAGCTTTATGTAATATGTTTTGATTGAGACTTTACACTAATGAGCATTAATATATTCTATTTCAGATAGTGAAAGTAGGCTATATTTGAATGTGTATATAACCAAGACCTTATCCTTTATGAAGAAGAAAGCTACCAGCATTTTTTCCAGGAGAGTCTCATTACTGAGAAACTGGGATTTGGTACATTTTGGTTGAAATTGATGCCTACCTGGAGCTGTTTCATGCAGCATGAGCAAACATTTCTCTGATTTGAATAAGAACCTGAAAATAGAGAAGAGAAATAAACAACTTTATTTTATTTTGTCTGTATTCTTTCACAAACCTTTCTGTTACCTAGTTAGGATGTATGGAAAAGTACCTGTCAGCTTCTTTTTTTTTTTTAATCAAAGTCATGCTTTAGCAAGCAGAAATCGGTCAGATCTTGTTCATAGATAGGCTTATTGTGTAAGACCTGATTTTTGGACTGATAATGGTTCTTTATCTTCATTATTATAGAATACAGAGGTTTAGGTTTTGGTATATATCTGGGGTATTAAAGGCAGGGTGCATCTTTAAGTGTGGGTAGGAAAATCCTGTGTTCCTAGCTTTTTGTTTTTAGGACCCTTTAGGTTTTAGGTCCCATATTACACTGAAATCTGGTTAATTAGTCACTGGGTAACTTGTTATTTTTGTCTTATTAAATGGCACACTACTCCCTGCCAGAGGTCCGTTGATTTATGCAGAAAATACTTTGACTAAATCATCATCTGTGAAAGCATAATTAGTAATTTCCAAAGGTACATCACAATGTACATCAAATCGCAATGAAAATCTGCTCCTGATAATTAGGCAGCTTAAAAGGTACTGACCTATGCCCTCCATAGCATATGTCAAGCCTAGTGATGCTTACAAAGCATTGGATTCTCTTCGACATTTCTTGCTTCGACAACATGTAGACAATCAACAGTTCCATTTTGGCGAACTATCTTCTCCTTTGGTGATGAGTGCATGTAAGTGTGCAAAGCAAAAGCCTTCAAGTGATTACTTTACTTCCTCATAATCATGTAATAATTATATAAATGACATTCTGAATTGCAGTAAGAAACAGTACATTAAGCATTTATCTAATAATGCAGTTCTTGTATAGTAAGCCATAGTATATATAATTTGCACTTGGAATGTTTGTAATATAGTTTCCCTTCATTATAAATGTCTAAACCATTCTTAAATGGGTCTCAATGTGGCATGAAAAATACATCTCCTAAAAATTTGAAAATGGCTACTATTAAGGATTAGTCATTTATGAGTAGTTAGTCATCATTACCAATTCCCTAGGAGTGATGAATTAACCAGATTTTGCTGGGGGGGCGGTTATTAAAACCATCTTTTGATCTGAGGCACTGGACAAAAGTAATAAATGTAGCCAAACAGACAATTATGTAGAAAGCAAAAATGTTTTTTAAAGAGTTATACTTTTAGGCCTTGGAAAGTCTTAAAATGCCCCTTTTAAGTTATATTACTCTGAATAAAACAGATCCTTTTTTTAAAGTACTGAGAATCCTAAAATCTTTATGCTCTGAAGACCTGATCCAGAATCCAATGGAGACCCAGAGTGGATAAAAATCAGTGATTTAAAAAAAAATGGATTTTTAAAATTTAAATCAGATTTTTTAATTTAATCATATTTTTTATATTTTGTTAAGATGCTTTTAAAAATAAAGTTATATAAAGATAGTTTTAAGTTAAGGTGCATTAAAGCTCAAATATATCACCATGGAATAGGGATTATAACTTCTAATTATATACTATTTGAGACAATATATTCATGTACCTTTTAAAAGTTTTATAAATAGGTCACAACAGGCCATGGACTATATTAGAGGCCCAATGTTATGGGGTTCCCAGAGGCTCCTTTATAGATTAGCAAAGATTAAAGAAAACTACTCTACCCAATGGGACTCAGTGCTTAGTCTAGAAGATGACATTAAGCATTTCTGTGATGCTTAATTTCAGTTCTCAAATTGTGGATTTGTGTCTCCAGAGATCATAGGCAGACAAGGTTCTTTGGGTAGATGTGATATCTTTTATTAGACCAACGAAATAGTTGGAAAAATTGTTCTTTACAAGCTTTCGGGCACAAATGCCCTTCAGGCCTAGGGAGAGTTTGTTGTCTCCAGAGATAGCATCCTTGTTAACAGCAGTATATGGAGATGAGAGATAACAGACCTGATTACCTACCCATCAGCCCTATTGTCTCTCTGCAAGTTTGTGTACACACAATCAAGCACTTACCTTCCTCTAAAAGTGCAAAGTTTCAAGAAGCTAAATGAATAAAATAGGGGTCAGAGTGCCCAAAACACCCACAGCTTCAACTTGTAAGATGTTGGTGTGCCAGGCGTAGATGACAGGGGAGCCATGAGGGGCTCAATCCTTGCTGTTGCCATCTAGCCCCGGCCCCTTCCCCACCATCCACCCAGAGGCACACGTGCCAAGCAAAATGCCTTTGAGTGCCACACTCTGGCACCCATTCCATGGGTTGCCTACCCCTGGAATAAAAGATATCAAAGAATAAGAATGCACTTTTTGTCACAGGCAGCCGAAGGCTGGGGCAAACAGGATTTAGGCACTTCCCCCCCCCAAAAAACAAAAAAACCCCAAAAAAACTTTTTGCAGCAGCTGGTGACAGCAGCAGCACTATGTAGCCACAGTCCTGCAGCTTTGTGTGCAACTGCACCTCCTGGCACCACTCAGTGTGCAGCTGCTCCTCCGCCACCACATAGAGCACCAGCCGGCCCTGCAACAGCCCTATGGGAGGGAGGGGTGGGGCCAGGTGGGGCTCAGCCCCCTCAAATAATATTTTCCCCCACCATTTATGCATTTTGTAGAACACAATAATTAAATCAAGGCTTCCTGACCAATGATTTAAAACATGATTTAAATCAATTTGATTTAAATCACATCCACCCTCTGGAGACCACAATCTGTTGGCTTCATTGGGCATTGGATTGGGTCCCAGTGACCTTCAATGGAAACCAAAGTTTATTTGAACTCACAAGAGAGGATAAATATGACGTAGTCTTAAACCTCAGTTTTATCCCTGAGGGAGAAACTTCCTTGTGCAGCCTATAAATTGTTTTAGACTCCAGTGAGCATATTGTGCCTGTTCACAAAAGAAACTATTTCAAAAGTAAGTAAAGTAAACATGCTGAGGGGCATATTAGCTTTAATACTATGCCTCTAAAAGAATTAACTCTGCATTGTGCATGAAAAGATGCCCTCTATATTATTTACTTATAGTCTCAAAAAACCTGTACAGTCCTTTTTATTTCTCTCTCTCTGTCTTCTTTCTTATATGTGTTCTATATTAGGAATTTAAAAGTTTCCAAATCTGAGAAAAAACTAGCAAAATATTGGGAACACAAAAATTGAAGTGATGTCTGCTATGTTATCTTCTGCCCAACATTTTCTTAAGATATTGGGAAAGGCCATGTTTGAGGAAGTAGGAGTGAAAAAAAGCCTTAAATCAGCCTTCTAAGCTTAGGTATGTTGGAGAGAAACTGAAGAGAAGGCATTCATATATAGTAAAGTCATAGAATCATAGAAAATTAGGGTTGGAAGGGACCTCAGGAGGTCAATTAGTCCAAGTCCTATCTGCTGAAAGCAGGACAATCCCCCGTCAGCCCCGCCAAGACTTTATCTTCCCAGGATAAGGATGGAGATGCCACAACCTCTCTATATAACCTGTTCCGGAGCTTTCCTACCCTCCTACTGAGAGTTTTTCCTAATATCTAACCTAAACTTCCTTTGTTGTAACCTGAGAACATCTTTTTTGTTTTGTTATCTGCCACGCTGTCCAGCTCCTTCCTCTTTGTGACCATTTTTCAGGTAGTTGAAGAATGCTATTAAATCCCAACTCAGGCTTTTCTTCTCTAAACTAAATAAGCCCCGTTCCCTCAGCCTCTCCTGAGAAATCATGTGCCCCAGGCATCTGAACATTTTTGTTGCCCTCCCCAGGACTCTCTCCAATTTGTCCACATCCTTTCTGTAATGGGGGGCTCAAAACTGGGTACAGTACTCCAGATGTGGCCTCACCAGTGCCAAATAGAGGGGAATAATCATTTCCCTAGATCAACTAGCAATGCTTCTACTAATACAGCCTAGTATGCTGTTACCCTTCTTTGCAACAGGGACACACTGTTGGCTCATATTCAGCTTACTGTAACCTCCAGGTCCTTTTCTGCAGAGCTGCTATTTAGCCAGTCAGTGCCCAGCCTGTACTGGTGAATGGGATTATTCTGTTATAAGTGCAGAACTTTGCACTTCTCCTTACAGAACTTCATGAGATTTCTTTTGTTCCAGTCCTACAATTTGTCTAGGTCTCTCTGAATCCTAAACCTACCCTCCAGCATATCTACTACTTTACCCAACTTGGTGTCATCCGCAAACTTGCTGAGGGTACGCTTCATCCCATCTTCCAGATTGTTGATAAAGGTATTGAAGAAACCAGCCCCAGGACCAACCCCTGGGGCTCTCTGCTTGATACTGGCTGCCAGCTAGACATCCTGATGATCCAGAGAGTTTTCTATCGAACTTACAGTCCGTTAATCCAACCTGTACTTCCTCAGTTTGCTTGCGAGAATGGTGTAGGAGACCATATCCAAATCCTTGCTAAAATCAAAGTGTATCATGTCCACTGCTCTTCCCACAACCACAGAGCCAGTCATCTTACCATAGGAGGCAATCAGGTTGGTCAGGCATGACTTGCCCTTGCTGAATTCATACTGATTCATAATTTCCTATATAGTAGGGATGATATTTTGATCCATCTAGCTCCTTGATCAGTACCTGAGAATATTTTATAGCTTCCCATATTTTTGTTGTTTGAACAAACTCTTATGGTTGATTCATAAATACGTCTAAGATTTTTGTAGAAATGTCTATACATTCTAGCTTGACACTTTTGCAGATCAGAGATGACCTGCATATCAAAATTCCTTGAGCTAGGCATGCATATGCACACATGCTGCTGCAGAAATGGAAAAGAAAACATATCCAAAAATAATTTTACTGATTTACCCCTGACCTTTGCTTTGACACTTATACAAGCCTTTGCCTGGGATCAGTAGTTAACATATTAGCTTTGAGCTACCTTCAAGACAGGATTTCAAGATCTTAATTGCCCAAGGAAATGTTCATATTAGTGTCTAGCATCCTGACCAATTTTCTTCATGGGGGTTTACCATCACCTGGGAGTTAATAATCATAATATTATACTGGTCCTTGTTGCTGCTGGATTTTTATTGTATTGCTCATTATAGAGAGACGTTATTTTTGAAAGTATATTTTATTATAAGAGAGGTGTTGGGGCGCATTTGACTCGCAGGTCACAATCTTTCATTACATTTGGTCTTTCATGCTTCAGTGCTATTTATTTCTTGGGAATAAACTGGTTTAATTTGTATAAGGATGATTTTTGGAGGATAACAATGAAACAGAAGTTGCTATAGTGAGGTTTTGAATCATTTTATACTGGTGGGAATGTTTACTGTTTTGTATGGAGCTGTCACTTAAACTGATGCTCAGTCTAAAATGGGATGGAACAATTATGTACAAGGAAGAGAAATACATGCAGTGAGGGAGCTCAGAGGGAAAGATGTGACTTGCAATTATACTCTGCAGTTAGAAGTTAAACTGTGTTAAAATGAAACCAAGGTATTTTACCTATCAAAGTCCTTCTGCTAGCAATGCTTGATCCAGTGACTAGTAAGACCTATAATTGCTCTATTGTGTTAGTACCAAAATGGATTAAAGGAACATGGATGAGAAAGTTTCAGAATCATTCAGTCACAATAAGACTTCTCTAGAAACTTATAACAGAGCTTATATTTACTGTTAGCAGAGGATTTACTTTAAAACGAGACAGACCAGAGAACAAATGACTGCATTTCATTGCATTCACATTTGATATGGAAATGCTGCTACGTTTCCAAAAAGAAATTGTTATAGCATCAGCAATTCTCTGTACTGCCCAAAGGCTAGGATCTGAAATCAGGTCCCTTGGCTAATAAAAAAGAGATGAGAATAGATCATGCATAAGTTAAATTAAAATAAAAAGTAGCAGCAGACCCACAGTTTCTGCAAGATGGATTTAAAAATGATGTATAGAAACATTCAGGGGTTTGAGGAATTAACACCTCCAATAAATAGCTTGTAGCAGAACTGGATGTTT